ACATATTTCAGGGACTTTTATTTTGAATTCCCTTTTTATTTCATGCAGTTTTACTATTTCAGGCTGTTTTACTATTTTAGGCTGTTTACTATTTTATGTCATTTTATTTCATGGTCCAATATGCAAATGAGGGGGCGGAGTTTTCTCTGTGGGTTGGGATTCAGGAAATGACTAGTTTCACCACTGGGGGAGGACACTTGCCTGGCCTTTCTTCATAATTAAACATTCATTTTTAAAAATAAAACATAAAGGCTTTGCAGTGATACTTATGGTGGCTTTTTGCCAAATAGTCCTGATTTTATGACTCATATTAAAAATTGTGATCTTTTTCCGGGTAGGTCAGAGCTTTGTTGGCTAAGCCGAATTGTTAAACATCTTTCCAAATGTATGGTGTTCAAATTTCGTGTGTCCAGCACCTTCCTGTCTCGAGTTATGACTAAAATTGTCTGTTTTCAAGTAGAGTTCTCTGCAGTGATTGCACATTGACATCCAGTCATCCCCCTGACTGGTGGTGAAACAGATCATTTCCTGAAAACCAACCCACAGAGAAAACTCCGCCCACTCATTTGCATATTGGACCATGAAATAAAACAACATGAAATAGTAAAACAACCTGAAATAAAAAGGGAGTTCAAAATAAAAGTCCCTGAAACATGTAAAGTAGCTTTACAAAATAAGTGTCAAAATAAATCTACATGTAATAAATAAATGAAAATTAATTAATTAAAGACATGTTAAAAATGTATTATAATTTTATTGATTTTGTTTTATTTCACAGGGAAATGTATTTATTTGATGGAATATTTATTAATTACATCATTTATGTATTTATTTAATTTTGAATGAAACGGCTCTCCGTACCTAAACGACCAGAGGAAATTAAAAAGACAGTTTTATGAAAAGGGTTGTCAAACATCAACGCTTCAACACAAATCAGGATTTATTTTATGATATTTCAGGTTTATTGTCTGGTGTAGCCGTGTTTTTATTAAAATATATCATTAAATTAAGTTGAAAGAAGATGAAAGGTTTAACACTTTATAAAACAGTTCAGTTTTTGGTTAAACCTTCTTCTCTCTGTGTTTCTGGTCCTGTTTGTGTCGTTAATCTGACCGACTTCCAGATGCCCCGTCACCCTTCCTGCCGCCTCCAGCAGAGCTCTGCCTGTTGCCGTGGCAACGGCGCCGGAGCAGAGCACCTCCGAGCATCGCTGCCGCATCTGCCAGAGGTCGTTTCCGGGGCAACAGGAGCTGCTGGTCCACTTCCAGGGCCACCGCCAGGGCAACCAGTACCGGTGCGACCGGTGCGGCCACCTGACGCGGACGGCCAACAAGCTGGTGGAGCACGTGCGCGTGCACACGGGCGAGCGGCCGTTCACCTGCGCCCTCTGCCCCTACAGCGCCAAGCGGCGGGACAGTCTGCGGCTGCACTGCAAGGTGAAGCACGGCGCCGCCGAGGCCACGCGCCGCCCGCACCCGGACCGCCCGCACCCGGACCGCCCGCACCCCAACAAACACGTCCAGCGGCTGCACACCGCCGCCCCTCCCTCCGCCTGCCCTCGTCCCCCTCACCTGTCGCTGTCCGAGCGAGCGGGCTGGAGGGATCTGTCTCCCCTCCTCCCCATCACCACGCTCATCTCCCTGAAGCCACGCCCCCTTCCTTCATCCTCCTCCTCCTCCTCATCGCCCTCTAACAAACACTCCTTCCTGGGTTACCTCGGTTTAAAAACTTCTCTCTGAGCGTCCCTCCTGTCCCCCGTCCTCCTGCCCGTCCTCTGGACATTAAAGCGATGGATGTAGAGCTCTGAAATGTATCTGAGGTCCAGAATGTCCAACAGAACCGGTTCTGCTCAGCGCACTGACAGCAGACGAAGAACGTTTTGTATTTAATCGACTTTTGCATCATGCTCGTGATTTTTGCTGCGATCCTGCCTGCTTTAGTCATATAATCACTTTACTCCTATTTAATCGTGTGACATATTTACTGCTTATCTCTGCTCCTCCACAAACCCTGAGCCTGAAAATCCACTTTTACACCTTTTTATGGCCTTTAGCTCCTTCTGAATGAAGCCACAGGACACTTCAAAATATTCTTCTAATCAAGCTGTAGGAGAAAAGAACAAGTCGTTCTCCGTCCAGCTGAAATGTAAATGTTAGCACAGTTTAACTGATTTATTGTAGCCTGGCAGTTAAAACCAAATCAATGTCATTAACCTCAAAAACATGTTTAGAAAAATTAATTAAGAGATGTTTAAACCATCCATCCATCCATCCATTTTCTGTACACGCTTCTTCCTTTTCAGGGTCGCGTGGGTCACTGGTGCCCATTTCCAGCAGTTGTACGAGAATAAAGTTGTAATATTATGAGAATATTATCATAATAATAACAATAATAATTTTTCATGACTTTTTTCACACAACCTTTTTTCGTGTTTCTTGTGTGACTTTTTTCCTCCAAATTTTTTCATGACTTTTTCTCATACGACTTTTTTATGTCACTTTTTTCTCATATGACTTTTATTCTGTGACTGTTTCTCGTATAACTTTTTTCTCATATGAATTTTGTCTTGCATGACTTTTTTCATATGAATATTTTTCTCATATGAATTTTTCTAATTTTTCTCTTTTTTCATATAAATATTTTTTCTCATATGTATTTTTCTCATGTGACTTTTTTCTCATGACTTTTTTTGAACTTTTTTCTCATACGACTTTTGTTTCGCATGACTTCTTTCTCATGTGACTATTTTTCTCATACGAATTTTTCTCATGTGACATTTATTCTCAGTTTTTTCTCATACAAATTTTTTCGTGACTCACAACTTTTCTTTTATGACTTTTTTCTCATACATTTTTTGTGTGGCTTTTCTCATACGCCTTCTTTTTCATACTACTTTTTTTGTTATTTAAAATAAAAGTTATCATAGTCTAGCCTTAATACTCTGTTGTACTGGAAGGCTTTCATTCTGCTGAAAATAGGTTAAAAAAACATGTATTTAATTTTCTTCTTGTATAAACCATGACCTTGATACTAAGATTTAAAGTTTTAGATTCACACAAATATCGCTTTCAGTAAAGCATCAAATCTGAGGTGTTTAATTAAAGCTAACAGGTTTGTACATACAATTATTTACAATCTGTCTTTTAGAAAGACTTCCAAGCTTTTTAATTCTGCCTCAACATGTTTTTATTTTAAAATCTATGATAATCAAATTTTAAATTTAATCAGAGCTCTGCTGCCTCTGAGGATTTTTGAAGGGTTCCTGGTTTCTGGAGGACAGAGATGAAGTTTCTGATACTTGTGTTGTATATGGATGTATTTATGTTTACATAGCCATGCACGGCTCACAGGAGTCTAAAACGTCTTGAAGTTGCACTATAATGTAGTTTTGCCGAGACAAGATAAGAATCGATGACTTAAGCCATGTTTAACCTCACTAACGCACGGGTTCTTCAAGAAACATCAGAGAGACAATTTAAACTCCAGACAAGAGTCGTATTTTAATCAGTTTAATAAGAGTCACAGTTTTACTAAACGATGTATTTTATTATTCTGTATGAATCATAGCGCTGTTAGAAGGTTGCGGCACAGAGCAACAAAGACGACAAACCAAATCTGCATTTTTTAAAAACAGGATACCACTGTTTCAGACTTTATTATCCTGACGAAACATCTTATTTTACAAAGGTAAAAGTTGAGATGACACAGAACAGCACAGTGGAAATTAATGAATTCACCTGAAGCTGTTTGTCTGTAAGAATAGTTTGAAAGCAGTGATGTTCTGCCTCCTGTGCCTCAGAGATTCAGACCCACTTCACTACAGTCATGTTGATTTAGATCACCAAATTCACAATTACGTTTCTGACAGTTTCCAGGTGCTGAATTTTCAAGATAACGCCGAAGAAATGTAGAAAACTTCAGCTTGAGTCTGTTGTTTGAGACCATTAAATGCTGCAATGTATAGAGACCTTAATGCTTTTTGATTTTTAGGACGCTGTGTTAAATATTGGTTAAAAACAGAATGCAATCATCTGCTTCGTTTTATTAAAGTAAAAATAGACAGATAAATAAGTTGGTAGAACTTCCCTATGCTTGAAAAGTTGCTCAGTGTTTAGAAAAACTTGTTTAATTATGATTTACGCAGCAGTAGATCTGTAAAGAATGAGCTGTTGCTACAGATGAGCAGAAGAAACCAAATCTTATTTTTATTTAAAAATTGGCATTGTGACATTTATTTGCATTTGAGCATTCTCTATCGTGTTCGGGGAATGTTTTGCTCATTTCAGCAAGACGAGCAACTTTTAACCTTCTTACAGCAATGTGACCCTTTATTATAAAGGGATTATAAAGGAGTCTAGGTGCTAAAATAACAGCAGCTGGTGCATTTTAAAACAAAATAATTACATATATGTTTACCCTTGTGTTGCTTTAACTCCTCGCTGAAAAGTGGAGACTAACTGCTGTAAATCTGCTTAACACGAAAAAATATTTTTCATTTCTGCGTTACGTTTTGCTTAAGGTTGTTTTTTTTAATAAAACATAGGATTAATGTATTTTAAAGAGAACTCCATCTGGTTTTAACATTAGACATTTGATAAGCATTTACTTCAACTATAAAAACAAGACTGTAAAAATACTGTAGGCTGTTTAGTTTTTATAAATTAAAAACATTGTCAGGCAGATGGCGCCATATTATTTACACCGCAAAGCATTCTGGGTAAATGATGAGGCTTACTACGTCCTTCAGCTCTTTGAAATGAAACCAGAGCGCCTTGGCAGTAGAAATGACCCAGCCAGGCTTCAAGGAAGGAGAAACTCAGTTTAGCCTTTTAGCTAACGTGTTAGCTCCTGATATAATACACATAAGTGACCCTCAAAACCCTGAGAGGAAGAAACAAATAAAAGATTATGGAAGGATAAAGCATTATTATTTACAGTATGTATGACAATATAGCGTTAGCTCCCAAGCTAATACATGTATTTGACAATGTAGCGTTAGTTCATGAGCTAATACATAAATTAGACCAGAGGCTCTCAAACTGGGGTCCAAGGACCCCCAGGGGTCCACGAGAGGTATCTTGGGGGTCCTCAAAATTTGTCACCAAATTGTTAATTTGATTTTTTATTTTTAAAAATGCATGGAGAACAATGAACTAATAAAACAAATATAATGAACTTAATAAAAATATATATCCCCATGACATTTAGGGGTTGAAATGACAATAAATTATCTTTTAAAACAGCATGAGGTTTATGAGGGGGTCCCTGGATGTTTTTCGCCCTTGTAAGGGGTCCCCAGACCCAAATGGCTCGAGAGCCCCTGTATCAGTCAATATAGTGTTGTTAGCTCCCAATCTAATACATGTATTTGACAATAACACTGTTAGTTTCCGAGCTACCAATTTAGTTTAGTTTGGTTTATTCAATTCATTTAAAAACAAAGCAAATTCGATATACAAAAAAAATACAAATGATTAATAAAATAAAATGAAAGGCAGCAGAAGGAAGAAAAAATCTTGTAATATCTGCACCTTTTTCTATCAAAAGAAATTCAAACAATAAAAAAAAAGCTCAGGAACTAACACTACATATTTATTAGTAATATTTGTCATTATTGATTACTACTGATAAATATGTGGTGTTAGCTCCCGAGATCAGTGTTTCCCAAAGTTGGGATCGGGACCCAAAGTGGGGTCCCGAAACATCAAGGTGGGGTCCTGAAAAGATTTTCTGAATTAATGACATTTTTGCCTTAGTTGTCACAAAGAAGTGAGGTTAGTGTATTCAAAATGTAGTATAAAAATATTGTTACTATGCCCATGTTTATTGACCTGAAACAAATGTTTATCATCCAGAAATAGTTGTGGCCACAGG